CTTTCTTTAAAATATGGAATTCCATGGGGTATAAAACTTAAATTTACTTTTCAGTCTGTTGGTAACTTCTTTTTTTTTTTTTTTTTTTTTTTTTTGGTACTGGGAATCGAACTCATAACCTCAGGCTTGCCAGACAAGCGCCTATGCCACTGAGCTGTATCCCCAACCCCCAGTAATTTCTTTTGATGGGAAAAAAAATCTTAGCCAACTGTCCCTCAGACAAAGGACTTCTATCTAGAACATGTAAAGAATTTTAAAAAGTCAGACCCCCAAAATTCAAAGACCCAATCCAAAAATGGGCATCTGAGATGATTATATACTTCTCAGATGAAGAAATACATATGGCAAATAAATATATGAAAAAATGTTCAACATCATTGGTCATTTGAGAAATGAAAATTAAAATAACACTGAGATTCCATCTCACCCCAGAAAGAATGGCTATCATCAAGAAATCAACATGACAAATGCTGCAGGGGCTATGGGGGAAAAGGAACACTTCTCTGCTGTTGGTGGGAGTGTAGACTTGTGCAATCACTGTGGAAATCAGTGTGGAGATTCTCAAAAACTAGGACTAGAGGTCCCATTTGACCCAACTATTCCCCTTCTGGGTATTTTCCAAGAAGAATTAAAAACATTGTACCACAGTGATATATGTGCACCCATGTTTATAGCAGCACAATTTGTCATAGCTAAATCTTGGACACAACCCAAATGCCCATCAACCGAGGAATGGATAAAAAAGATGTGCTATTTTCATACAATGGAATATTACTCAGCTACGAAGAAAGATAAACCTGAGACTTATTATAGGTAAGTAGATGCAACTAGAGACCATACTCATAAGTGAAATAACTCAGACTTACATGGGTAAACATCACATTGTCTCCCTAGTGTAAGAAGCTGAAAAGTAAATAAGATCCAAAAGGTACAATAGATATAGTGAAAAGGAAAGGCACTGCCCAAAAGGAAAGAACAACTGGGATGGGGCAAAAGAGAAAAGAAGGAAGGAAAAAAGGTATGTGTATATACACAAGATAGCTAAGAGAACTGTACTACTAATTTCTATTGGTTCACTGAAAGGATCAATTATTGCTCATACTGTTTGATCAATTTTGCATGCCTGTACCCGGTAATCTGAGCAACTGTTTTGAAGATAACAATATGCAATATAACAACCATTGTTAATTTTCTATCATTTTTTTTTAATTTCCTATCATCTTGTTTTGAAATTCTGTATTGTTTTTATTTTTTTTCCTCTCTTTAAAATAAAAAACAACAACAACAACAACAAAAAAAAACCCACTTAAGTTTAAAATTTTCTTTGGCCTGCACATTTTCATGTCTCTTTCCTTTTCTTCAGTTTTGTCACTCCATAGGCCACTTATCTCTTCATTTGAAATAAATCCATCTGTATCTGTACACACACACACACACACACACACACACACTCACACACACAGCTTGCTACATGCGTTTCCACTTTTGTAACATTAAGTTGTCTGTTCTTACTGTCTTTCTCAGCGACAGGAGATCTGCCTTTTCTCGAATGGTGACTTCCCTCGACTTCTTTTCCAGTGCTTCTTCATGTTCCAGGGTGGATGTGACCTGTTTCGATTGTGCGGACCGTTTGGATGCTGTGAACTGTTTGGATGCCTTGATCCCTTCCTCACTAGCAAGGAGATTTCTCTGGGCTATGTAAGCAGCCGCTTCTTTAATCCTTTCTTCTTCTGTATCCGTAATTCCACTGACATGCAGTTGCCTAAAACATAATAATACCAAGACATAGATACTGTGGATTGCCTAGTTCTACTAAGCTCAAGGTACCAGGCCTCACACATTGTCCAGTGCCCAGAACAAACCTGACATTGAAAATGACTAATAGTCATGTGTGTAATCCCTGCACTACCGGGGCCGAGGCAGGAGGATCTCTGTGAGTTCAAGGTCCACCTGGGTGACATAGAGAGCTCAAGGCCAGCTTGGACTACATAGTGAGATTCTGCCTCCAAAAACTAAAAAAATAAAAAACCAAACCGGTAAATCAGAAAGCTGCCTCCTTATTAGTGGAAATGGTCTTCCCCTTAACAAATAATGGTCCCCATGACCACAGCAATGCTACCTGTTATGTTTCTGATGCTTTACACATATACTGTCTCATTCTAGTCACACAAGCTAAACAATATCACTTCTATTTAGACAGTTGGTAACAAGGCTCAGAGGAGTTAGATCACTTGTTGAAGGCCATTGCCCTGGTTACCTTATTATTTAAGTATGACTTAGTTTAAAATAAAACATAAAACTATGACTTTCCTTCCAGAAAAGACAACACTGCAAAATGAGACATAGCTCATGAGCTTGTGATGCTAATACAGGTCTATGAGTCTGATCTGGATTTTATAACTCTGCTGATGCAATGCATCGTCCAAATCTACTGCACAATAAATATGTTCTAAATTCGCATAAGAGGCCGGGCATGGCAGCTCACACCTGTAATCCCATCACTCAGGAGCCTGAGGCAGGAAGATTGCCACGAGTTTGAGGCTGGCCTGGACTACAGAGTGAGTTCAAGGCCAGTCTGAACTACATAGCGAGACCCTGTCTCAAAGAAAAAAAAGAGACTTATGTCTACTGGGCTTCTTTCTAGGACAGTAAAGGTTGTGAATGTGTGTTTTCAAAGTGACAATCCTCATTTGCATCTATTTACTCTTAATGAGAAGGAATGATCAAATTTCTAGTTGAAGTGCTACTATTCATAAAAATAACATTTTTATTCATTACTGATTACAGCAGAGGAGCCGTAACATCCAAAAGTGCTGTGCCTAGTACGGTAGCTCATGACAAAATTTGTGCAGTGACTGATTAATGTTGTTAAAAACAAATATTCTGATGGCTTTTAGCCTCCTTGAATACCTTTGTTATAAATTCCATCGCATGTTTTAGCGAGACAGTGTATTGATTTGTTGAAGATTCTCCCGAAACTGTCCTGTAGGCTAGCGCTAAACTGACTTGGTATTTATTTCCTTAGTGCTGGGGCTTGAACACAGTCTTGTACCTGATAAGCACATACTCTACCACTGAGCTACATTCTAATCCCTAAAGTGTTTTTTTCACACATAGCGAGAGAAAAGCAAAACACAAAACACCCCCTTCCTCCTCCTCCTCTTCCTCTTCCTCCTCCTCCTCTTCCTCTTCCTCCTCTTCTTCCTCCTCCTCCTCTTCTTCCTCTTCCCCTTCCTCTTCCCTCCTCCTCCTCCAGCCTCGCCGGCTGCTGCTGTATGTAGGTGGCCATCACAGCACTGCGAGGGGCTAGTTCTGGGTGCGCCTACCTAGCACATTACACGTGCTTCTCTGCAAGTTCATGTTCAGGAACCGGGGACCCCAGATAAAAGGCTGGACCCCGAATGTTATTTATCCCTGGCCTTCTTATCTGGACGCAGGGCGATTACGACTTAGGTCTCTGAAAGGAGTCGGAAAGAGCAACGGAAAGGGGACCACAGGACAGCAGGAAGAGGTCACCGACACCACCAGTCACTTCCTGATCCCAGGAGGATCCACGTTCCACACCACTGGCTCTGGGAGGATGAGCGCTTTGAGCACCACTGTGGTGACTGGGGTGACCCTGCAGTCGAGGTGACCCTGCAGAGCTGGGGGAGGCCCAGGACACTCCCGCTTAGCCTTCATCCTGGTGTCTCAGACACCTCCCCCTCAAGTCCCTTCCAATGTTAGTACCACCGAAATGCGCTTCTGTGAGGGAAAACTGGCGCGACAGAGTCTTGTGATTTAGTGTGAAGTTTACCTAGAAATAGATTAACAATCACGTTTCCATTGAACAAATATAAGCCAGTAACTCAAATTAAGACTTTATTTACTCCCAGTGAATAATGAATATTTTTCATCTACCTAAACCTATCATCTAGAGTTCTATTTTTTTTTTTTTAGTTCTATTTTTTTCCCAGCTCATTCAATATTTTACCCTTTCTGGGAAGAGGGGGAGGGGGTAGTGCCGGGAACTGAACCCAGGGCCTTCACACTGAGCTACATCCCCAACCCCACCCCACTCCTCTTTCAAAAATTTTTGTTTTGAGACAGGGTCTCACTAAATTGCTAAGATGCCCAGGCTTGGCTCGAACTTGTGATCCCCTTGCCCCCGCTTCCCAGAGTGCTGGGACTGCAGACGCTTTATACCTGTGACCCTTTCCTTAGCTATACTTTCCAGCTGTTGGCATCCACGGCTCCCAAGCCGGTCCAACTCATGATGTGCCGTTGGGCTCTAACCGTTCTCTCCTGTCCTTATAGGCTTCCTCCTTTACAAGGAGCACAGCTCCCTCCACGCGGGGCTGCACGCTTCCTAAGCGCTTCCTCAAGCGGCCCACGGTGGGTGCTCAACAGATCCCAGCGCCCTTTACTCTCCGACACCACCCGTTCCTGATTTCTAGCAGTCAAAGCAGAAAGGGAAAGCGCACGCACCGCCCGGAGTAAATAGGCACCATGTAGTCGCTTGGCAGATTTTCCTTCTCCTCTCCAGACGGAAGACTGCGCTTTGCTCGCTTTGTTTTGGGGCTCAAGTTGGATGAATAATCTTCTAACAGCAGACTGGAGTCTGTAAGTCTGAAAGAAAACCCCTAGCATTAGACAACACCAAAAAGTGCACATAAGATATTCAAAAGACTGATCAAAGAAAGTTTATACCAGGAGAGTTTCTCCAGAATCTTAGATTTCCAATCTATTATCTTTTATCTTTGTAAGTTTAACCAAGTAAGAAAGTTCTCAAATGCATAAATGCATTCTTAGGCGCAAAACAAAAACCAGAAAGAGTAATCTCATGGCCTTTGTTCCTTAAGGCTTCAAAGGAAAAAAAGCATTGCTTTTATATTTTTAAGTAGCCTTTACTGTTATGTTAGTGTTTGATATGTAGGCATCTGTCATAGATGGTTTTAACACAGCTTGCCTCCAAATCTTTTCAAGGGGTTGTGAAAATGCACACTTTTCTGAACAAGGACCCCAGGCAATTCTGATGCAGGGACCATAGTTTCACACTAGGGGATCTTAAAAGGTCTGTACTTACTGCAAGCATATTCCTACGTGTGAAGGACCCTGGACTTATCGGTCAGTACAGCTAGAGGATGACGGAACCCCCGGCTCAGAGAATATGGAGGTGTGCCCCAGAGCCCTCGGTGAGTGTGTCTGTCCGCCTGTGCAAACGCTGCCCCTGCACACCGCCAGGGAGCCGGCCCAAGCCAGAAACTTTATTAGGGAAGAAGACATGAGAGTAAGATTGTGGAGGAAAAGGATCGATGGGACAAAGGGGAGAGTCTGAACCTACACAGTTCTTGAATGAGAAATGCATTTGCCTATACACAGAACACTGGGCTCGTGGACTCCCCGGAGTCATCCACAGACCCAGGGTAAAAGCCCCTGGTGTGCATGACAATAGGTATCCACACGGAAACTCTGTCCTATCCTTGTAACTTTCCTGCAAATTTGCAAGTATTCTAGAAGAAACACTCATGAAGAAACACCCCTGGTCTAGAGAAGTTTTGGGGACAAGATAGGGCAGGTGGGTCGTGTGGCAGGGGAAAGCCAAGCTGCTCTGTGGAAACAAACCATTTAGACCTTGATCATACTCCGATCTCTGAAAATGATTTGGAAAAGCAAAAGGCATTACCTAAGTCAAAACAAGACAGGTCTCACATGCACGTAGTGCAAAACAGAGAGATCATAACGCAAGGGAATAAGCCACACTGCACCGAACCGGAAGGGCTTCAAGGAACTGCAGAGCGCCTCCTGCCTCGAATCCTCCGAAATGACCACACGGAGATGGAAACTTCCTCCCTCTCTGCCCAACCCGGCCAGGGGGAATAGCTAGTCCTTTTCCTATGATCAGCATTAAAACTAAAGGTTAGACTTGAAGTACAGCTTGTGGATTGGTTACCAGCTGGAAGCCGGAGTGAAATCTGTCCCTGGCCGGAGCAGAACGACTGTATTCTTTGCCCCTGCAGGTCACAGACTACAGGCTGTGCTCACGCAGGTCTAAGTTTACAGTGGCATGTTCCTCCACGCCTGTGCCATCCTGTACAGACGCAACTCCTTACAAGCTTCAGGGTTTCACCGCTTCCCCTGTTTCTAGAATAGTTGCATTTTCTAATTTCTGTGTTTCTCGTTTTGCTCTTTTCTCTTTGCTTCCATCCCAGTGTCCACAGTTACACTCTCATAAACTCATTTTCCCATGTTTGTTTTCCTCAAAATAGCTATTTTTATTCTTTTTTCTGTATTGCTCCTTTTCCTATCATTTGTTCTTTAAACACATCTTTAATATGTTATGTTTATTGTACAGAACATGCCCAGAATGTGATTATTCCATTTTCATGCATAAATCACAGCTGCTGATTTTTAATGGTTGAATTTTATGATAAAGATTCATGGGACTTACAAAAAAAGATTCACAGAACTATCACTAGCTTCCATTTCAAAGTTTATCCGGAGAAAAGACTGCACAAAATGTATTATGACATTATGTATTAAACAATATAACCTAGGGAACACAAGATCTCCACCTTTGTTACACTCTAAAGTTTCTCTAAGCTTTTATTTCTAATTTTAAAAATGTGTAAAAGATTAGGTGTTAAAATACCATGAAGTAGGCAATTTAGTAATGCTGTTATTTATTAAAGTTAGCCAACAAAATTAAATCAGAGAAACACAATATTTTAAAGAACTGTGTAATAATCAATGTAATTACCTGATGAAAACCTATTAAGTAGTCTATCTTGTCATGATCCATTAATACTAAAGTCTGACATTTTATACTATCAAATTTTAAAGTTGAATAATGCTTTTAGAAGAATTAAATAAAATATGTGGATTTTAAATTTCTTTGAACCTAAAAAGCTAAAGAAGGGCTTATTAACTGTTTGGACTTTGAGTTGCATTTAATTATTTTTTATTTTAAAGAGAAAAAAACCAATAATACAGAATGTCAAAGCAAGATAACAGGAGATTAACAATAATTAATATATTGTGTATTATTATCTTCAAAGTAGTTGCTCAGCTTACAAGATCTAGGCATGCATAATTGATCAAACAATATATGCACAAACTTTTTTTAATGAACTAAAAGAAGTCAGTAGTATAACTATCTTATCTATCTTTTGTGTATATATATATTTTTCTTTCCCCTTCCTTCTTTTCTCTTTTCACCCATCCCAGTTGTTCTTTCCTTTTGAGCAATTTCTTTCCCTTTCACAATATCTATGGTAGATTTTGGGTCTTATTTACCTTTTCAGATTCTTACACTAGGGAGACAATATGATATTTAGACAATTGCATTTATTTTTATTTTTTTATTCTTTTTTGGTTTTTCTCCAGTACCGGGAACCGAACTCACGACCTTGCGCTTGCCAGGCAGGCGCTTTTGCCGCTGAGCTAAATCCCCAGCCCCAGACAATTGCATTTAATTTTGAAAAAACACTTCCCTCAGTTTCTGAGTAGCTATTAAAATTGATAAGAATGGGTCTGTAGAATAAGCCTTTTACCTATTAGAGCTAGTATTCTTGATGTGCTCAGCTTAGATCTTGAAATTTTCTGAATTTCAACAGAAGTAAACCATGAAATTAGGCAGTAGGGAAGGACCGATTTGTGTGTGTCCCCATGTATCTACCTGTCTCTGCCACTGTGTCTAGGTATATCTTTTTGTACCCTGCTACTAATTGTGATATGTTCTCTGTTAATATGTCTACAGTTTGCAGATTTTAAATACACATTCTGATAGGCATGATGTTATCACACCTGGGATCAGCAATGCCACGGAGAAGGAATGCAGCCAAGATCCAGGAAACAATCTCTAGAAATAGTCCAGCAATTGAGAAACAAGCTTACACCTGCATCTAACTCAAAGGCAAACTTCACGATGATCCATCAGGAAAAGCAACAACAAAACAACTAATAGAATCCCAGAGCCAGCAAAGATTTCAAGGATATTTATTTATTTATTATTAAGAAAGCAGACAGGCATGGTGGTGCATGCCTGTAATCTCAGCACTTGGGAGGGTGAGGCAGGAGGATCACTCTGAGTTCGAGGCTAGCCTGGGCAACATAGTGAGTTCAAGAATAGCCTGAACTACACAGTGAGACTCTGTCTCAAAAACAAAACAAACAAACAAAAAGACATACTGCAGGTGTGCCGCCTATATATTTTTAAGTTCTATGTATGTACCACTGTATAGTGTCAATTCATGAAACATTAAATTGGGGAAAAAAAAGGATCGAGATCAAACTAACTTGAAGACAGCAATATGCAATATAACAATCATTCCTACCATCGTGTTTAGTGAAGCTCTGTATTGTTTCTAAGGGTTTTCAAAATTACTTTTTATCCTTTTTAATGGTTTGATCAATCTTGCATTCTTACATCTGGTAATCTGTGCAACTTTGTTGAAGATAAAAATATGTCATTTAACCACTGTTAATTCCTATCATTTTGTTTTGAAACCCTGTATCATTTTTATTGTTTTCGTGTTTTGCTTTTGTCTATGTTGTTGTTATTTTGTTTAATTCTCTTTAAAATAAAAAGATGAAGTTCAGTTGAGGAGAAATGAAGCTAGTCCCTCCTCTCACGTGCCCAGGGCCCGTCTCTGCGGACCCTCCTCCGGAGCCCACAGTCCCACGTCACTTTGCCCATAGTGACTCCGATGTTGATTTGCCATTTCCGAATTACACACTGAGGTTATGAAATCATCACGATGCAGATCTAAAAACTCGATGGATGCCATAGGAATGAAAATCCAGTTCCATGAAGTAATGCTCAGCGTCACAGAAGTTTGGGAAATTGTCCCAGCTTCCCCTAATGAGTAAATGAATTCATTCTTACACTTATGTACGGATCTGCTGCATGATGATGTTACATTCTGGCGACATTCTGACATTCTGACAGCCGAGCCCACACTTCAGAGAGACACGGTGCGCCAGCGCCTTTGCTAACCTGCTCCCTGCACCAGCACCTCCGTCCCTGCTCCCTCCCCACGATGCCACCCTGCTGGCTTCTCAGCCGGTTCCCCGACACCCGCGCCGCTCCAGGCCCTCAGCACCAGGCCCAGCGCCCGACACTGCGGCGGAATATTCACTGAGGCAGAATCCCTGGAATCACCCCAGCTCAGTGGGCCTCAGCCCCGGTTTCACATCAGAATCAGCTGAGGAGCTATTTCGAATTCCTAGCGGGAGGCCGGATTCGCAGTATGATGGGAGGAGTAGCTCAGTAGTTCCTCTCTTCAGAAAGCAAAGAGAAAATGAGACACTTTGTCCAAAACTCAGTCAGGGATCTGAAAATCAATCGAAGGCACACAGTACACTCAGAAACGGTTATTCACAAAAAGCAAGCAGGCTTCCTGTGTGAGCCGGCGGAGTCTGCGCTGTCTCCGGAGCTCTCACTGCCAGAAGGGGCCGCCTTGTTTGGAACAAAAGATGTGAGACTGCACAAAATACTTGCGACACTGCACTGTTGGGCTTATGAATGCACAGCTGTAAAATAGGGTAACAGCACAAAGGAGGGGCAGGAAGTGGAGCTACATTATAGCGAAGTTTCTCTATCTTTCTAGTATCAAGTTAGTGCACCT